AAGCTGCCTCGGAGAAAGTACATGCACACATAGCCGAGAGATTCCATGTCATCACGGCGAGATTGTTCGACACCGAGATGAGTGTTGATCGAAGTGTAACGAGCAGTTCCGGTGAGGTTCTTGTTCTCTCTGTATGGGATGTGCAACAGAGTCTTGGGGTCACGGTACTTCTTGGCAAGGCCAAAGTCAATGATGTTGACTTGGTTTCCACGCTTAGCAATGCCCATAAGGAAGTTGTCGGGCTTGATGTCCCGATGGATGAAGTTGCGCGAGTGAACGTACTCGATTCGAGAGATCTATTTTGACATCAGTTGACGGGCTGTCAGAGGTGGTGATCCGGACAGGGTCGAGTGAGAGAAAGCTTGCTTACCAATTGATCAGCGAGGAGCAAGGTAGTTTTGAGACTAAACTTGCGCTGGCAGAAGTTGAACAGGTCTTCCAAGCTAGGACCGAGCAAATCGATCACCATAGCATTGTAGTCACACTCTACACCAAACCATCTCACAAACCTGTTCGAACCGACATAAGAATCAGCAAAAGGAAGTCGGGGTGAGTGAAGCAGGACTACGTACGGAATTCCGACGCCACCGGCCAAGGTTTTATAGACTTTGGCTTCATATTCGAGCTGAGGATGCTTGGCTTTGACGCTTTCGAGCTTGATAGCAACCTCCTCACCGGAGATGATGTTGATTCCGAGGTAGATATCACCTGAAGAAAAAAATCCGAGTTGGTTTGATTTGAGAGACTGGGAGTCTCAAATTGAGGGAGGACGACTAACCGAATGAACCACAACCGATCTTCTTGCCGAGACGATATTTTCCACCAACCCGGAGATCCATAGTTAGACGAACAGCGAGGTGTTTGGAGAATCAAGAAACGAGAGCTGGTGATGATGTGGAGAAGGAGTAATGAGCTGGTGAGATAAGGGCGAACAGACAAGGCAAGTCAGCTCTGAGGTCCTTGAGAGGTTATTATTAGGAAGAGAGTGGATGGATTGAGAAAACGAATGAAACGATCGATGGGAAGATGAGGTCAAATCAGCACGAGATGACGAGTGATTTATATAGAGGGAAGGGGGGTGAGGAGGAGAATGGCAAGGCCAGCTGGATGAATACAGCACTTTGGGTTCAGCTGGAGTGTCTCGAAGCAAACAAATCGGATGGAGACAAGGGGCCTGGTTTGAGGAATGAAACAGAACCAAGGCTACGGAGAGCAGGGGAGGGTTGCCAGGATAGAGACAGACGACAGTGTTACCTTTTGGAAATGAGTCGAGAGGAGAAGAAAGTGTATGAATGGAGATTGGGCCTGAACGAGGAGGCTGAAGGATGAGGAAGTGGAGGGAGCAGGATCAGAAAAAACCCGAGCGAGGTTGGCAACAGGCGTGGGAGGAGGAGGGAGGAGGAGGAGGGGAGGAGGGGGAGAGGGAAGGGGTAGAAGAAGGGAGAGAGTCAGCTCGAATTGGTGTGTCAGCAGCGCAGCCAACGCCCACCGAACGGAAGGAATGATCTGCAGCTGTGTCGAAATATGCTTGGCTGGCCGAGTTGACTGCTGTTGACTGTTGACCTACACACACCAACCGCAGGAGAAAAAGACTGTTCAAAGCCTGTCATCCGCATCATCTCCTGGAAGCATCAATTACTTATGTGTGGTACAAAATCAGCTCCAAAGAGCATTGTTGGGAAAAAAAAATTCACCAATTCTGACAACCCAACACAACCATGCCAAAAACCTGGAATGGCCACTAGATTAAAGCTGGACAGTTCTTTGTGTCAACACATGCTCAATCCCCCAAATCATCAAGAGGTCCCAGCCATTATACTCTGTAAAGGAGGATGGTTATTGGTAATCAGTACTTAACTAGAATCATGGTGTATTGTAAAAAGGTCAACCAGCTTAACCTTCATTGTGTCTCTGTGATGATTTGATAAATAAACTCAATCCTTGTTGGAATTTCATCTCTCTCTCTCCTCATCCCTAAAAATCCTGTTCTGTTTAGTCTTTTAATTAATAATGATTAAATAATAAAATTCAAATTATTATACAATTTTTGTTAGTTTCTGCGTGGTATCTTGTCCTGTTGTCTAGTGCTGCAATCCTTGCAGTCTTCGAACCCTGGTCTAGTCTTTATCAATAGTCATTTGCTCCAGTCATCTATTCAAGAATTTGTTTATTTTTTTTTGTTATTCATTATGATATTCATTTTTCTCTCAACCACATGTTTGACCTCTTGTATGTAGACTATTTAACGCGTAGTCTCCTCTAAGTAAAAAACTCATTGGCTCTCTCATTCTTTTTCCCGACCCTTGAGTCAGTCCAACAAAATTCATTTTTGTTGCCCCCAAAAATTTTTCTCTCAAAAAATTCTCCGCGTCTTCGGTCAAAATTTCTTCAATCCTCCCCAAGAGTGAAAGTCTTTTCACATGATTCTCCCCTGCACAGTTGCTTCAAAGCTTTGATGTTTCCTGTCAAAATAAAATCATTGATTTCTATTCATGTCATCTTTCAAGGCTACTGGATACAGTTGACTCCCTCTTAAACCATGACCTATTAACCCATAACCCCTCTTAAGCCAAAAATTTTTCCAGGAAATTTGTCCATTCAAAATGGGAAAAATGCCTAAAAACTGGACTTATTAACCCATACTCTCCCTTAACCCATAGCAAAACATGTCCACCAAGGGGTATGGCTTAATAGGGAGCCGACTGTACTGATCTACATATGTCCTGGATTCCTGCTGGGATATAGACTTGACTGATTTTTTAATCACTTGATGTAGCTACTCATCTTGTTGATTTACAGACAGGTTTATTCTTCTTCCTTAATCTAACAGTTCATGTGATCACCCCAACATTGCAAGATTCTCTTTGATATTTCTTTTTTCAGGAAAGGTTTCCTTTCCTTTTTCATCATTGACATACACCTGAAGCAGATTTTGTTGAAGATTATCATCTGAAAATCTATAAGTAAAGTATAAGAATCACTTGATTAATTGACAAATCAAATTTTGAAAAAGAAAATCTACAAAAACTTCAAGTATGGTTCTTATTTAATAAGCATCTATCATATATATTAAAAAACTGATTGATACAACTCTTATATATCAGAAACACTAGCAGATTAAATACAACAGTGAAAAGGTAGGGGAGGTTTTAATCCTTTCCTTACACAATTTTTGTAAATTTTTGTCAGGAAACCTACAAGTTGAAATGGAAGTATCCACTAGCTACAAGCATAGAGTGACTAAGGATGATTGAATCATTCAGCCACAATAAATTTGGGTCTGGAGAAACTGCAAAGATATCTGTATCACCTTTCAAATTGGAAAAAATGTCTTTTGGCAAAGGGATTTTCAAAATTGCTTTATTAATCAAACTCTAGCAAGTAAAAAAATATCATCCAATGCCCAATTCTGAGGCAGATATGTATATGGAAAAATATTCATTCAATCAAACTACTTCATGTCTTGATCTGGGCTAAGTAGAATCATTTGACACCGGAAAGTCAGCTTTCTGATCATTAGTAAATTCTGGAATTTCAATGTCTGTTTTTTTTGCCCTCTGGTTGCGCTGATCAAATTTGCAGGCAATCTTCAACAACACAGAACAAACTCCAAATGTTAGTTGGAGAACTGCAAGGTTTGGTGTGGTGTAAGATTGAAATCGGCTGACAATCACAATGAGCCACATGCCAAAGCTAAAAGCACCAGCTGAGTTTGCAACTGTTGAAGAAATGAGTGATAGTGGTTGTTTCCAGGGTTTTTTGGTTCGTGTGCATGTGTAACTGACCCCAAATGAACGATTATGAAGGTCGGAACCGGTCGAATCGACCAGCCAAGATAGTATTTCAAGCTGTTCTGAAAATAGGAGTGACAAGGCAGATGGCATCTTGAGTAAATTTGATTCGTTCATAATCAGACGCACTTCGATGTCCTCTTTGAATGTGATTATGAAGAAGGTGCTCTCTATGAATTTAATGTTCATGAAAGCGGGCCAAGGGTCGGTAAGTTCTGATGTGTTACCCAGGTACAAACTTCCTTCCATTTGATAATTTCGAATGGAAGCGGGGGTGTTGAGTGTAGACTTGGGTGATGGGACAAACGCCATTTTCTTCAGGCTTATTTCAAGCTGGGTGATATCGGTACTCTCGAGTCTCTTCGGTGCGTCAGAAGGTATGAGTGACTGGACGTTGTCGAGGTTGAATTTTTCGAAAGAAAGCCGGCGCGCTGAGGAACTGGATGTGTCCCACTGGCAGTCAATTTATAGCTGAATATAATTTATACGGCGAGGCAGTGTCGTTTGGTTTTTATTAATCTTCAAAGCTCACAAGACAAACTGCTCCAATCGGCCATAAAACTTGGAAGCGAATTTTGGAAGGCTGATCAAGATACATACCAGAACTATCAGTATTATTGAGGCTCTGGTTATAGGCTGATGAGTAAGCTAATGATCATACCGCGAGGTTGATGAATCGAAATCACTGCACAAATGAACTGTGTTTTGAAAAACGTCCGAGTAGCAACTCCCGCAGATTCTGTCATGTTCAACGGAGTCACAATCAACTTATATAATGAGGCACATTTTACACCATGAATCTGCACAGTATACTCACTGATGCTTGTGTCTATATTTACTCTTGAACTTGGGTCTTGGTTTCAAGTAATAAGTGAATCGCGCGTCCGTGATCTAATAGAATTTTTAACTGTCTATATTGAGCTTTTCAAGTCATATGCAGACGGGCTCTGCTTCCAGGCATCATGATTAAATTCCAGAATGTGAACCAACATTACACGACAGAGATTCCTCCATGTACTGAAATCCAAGGTTACTCAGAGAGGAATACGCCGCAGGTTGCTTGTTCGGTGTGGGAACAACACTCCAGACTGTCCAGCGGAATGGGCCTGGAACGACGGCGACGCCCGTATCATCGACCAAAGACGATGTTGCGTTTTGATTTACGGGCTGAACAGTGTAAATATTATCACAGACGTTGATTGATGCTGCCATGCACTGAGTTTCTTGACCTTTAGAATCTACACCACTCTTTGGATGTGCCAAAAGTATTGTTCTGCCAAGACAGAGCACGGGATTTATGAGTGAGTTTGTAAGATCAATACTCAAAAGCTGAAAAAAATGGCTTACTCCTGTGTCGATGTTCTTCCCCTTCAAAACAAAGAAATAAAAATTAACCGGATGAGATTCGCAATCCTGCCACGGGTAATGATGACCAATGAATACCTCACTGGGTCAACACATAAAAAATCAATAACGCAGTGTAAAAGGAAGCCTAGGGTGACATGGTCGATTTTCGAAATTTCAGCTGGGTTTCAACTGATTCTGAGATCTGATTGTAATCTCTCACTTACGGAGGCCAGAGCGACTTCACCAGCCAAGCGGTGGTGCACCACAACATCGCGGGTGAAGGGGAATGGTCAAGAGTCAGCGCACGTAGGAATGCTGCACATTGATCTTGAAAAACTACAAGACATACCGATAAGAGGTATCCGTTGATCAGTATATGACTGCCTAACCGGGTAATCTCCAAATAGTACTCTTATGGTGTTGCGCCACATTCTTAATGATGTAATCGAAGAAGCCGATTGAAACTTGAATGCCAAAACTTGACCAAGGTAGGGGAGACATTAACTCAGGCCCAGATGGTTGGGCATATTTGCCTTGTCTGCCATTTCGCATGACTCCAACCATGCCTGCAAGAAGCTAGCGGCCAGATCCTACAACACCAACTTTTCGGAGTGAACACTGCCGGCTTCATCAGCTCAAACCCCGAAATTCAGCCACCTTGTTTGAAGGCAGTGATGTACTTCGGTACATGAATAAAAGCATTATATCTCTCTGCCAGGTCATCAATTGCGTGGAAGTTCTGCTCAACAAACTTTGCCAAGCTGCTTGCATACACTTTTGCATGTGGTCTGTGTGTTATGAAGAGCTCCTTGGCATCTTGCGCTCACAATGTATGCAACTTGGCGGCTTGAGATTGATGGTAAGCATGGCTCAAATGGTGATAATCTTGGCTTGAGCCGAAGATGTTGGATGACGTTGAATGCGTTGGGAGGATCAGAAAATGGAAGATAAAGTACTGAGCACTAGTAGCCATTGTGTTCATTGGTAGAGCAAAGCTCAATATCAAGAAGCTTATACATGAAGAGGCTGACACAGGATCCCGTAAATCTGTTACAAAGGTATGCACTTTGTTTTTCTGGCTTAATGTTGGGAGGCACCGCTCCCAGCGAGTGGGCGTGATGTACTCCTTCCTGATAAGCCTATTTTGCTTTTGGGAGGGGTTCTTCCTGAGTGTGGATAGGGTTTCCTCTTGCCAAAAAGTGATTCTGACTGGAGGGTTTATTCTTGGTAAGTAGTTCTGACATTGAAACCCTCTTGCCTCAATCATGGCTACTCAAGGCAAATTCTTCTTTGTTGCCCCATCATTCAAATTAATCAATGACACCAATTTCCAAACTTCAACACTTAAGAGGAGCTAGTTCTATCTTTGGGTATGAGGTAATCATCTCATTTGTACTACCATTTTTGCAATAACTGTTATTGAATTTGTTTTGCCCTTTTATCAAATTCTCTCCAAGGTCTAGTTTTGACGTGTGATCTGCTTACATCATGGTGTTCAACATTGTAATAACTAGGATACTAGGGTGGATGGGCCAAAGACAATATGCCCTATAAGAATGTCAAACAGATGAGCTAAGGACAACAAAAAGGCAACATTCTTATATTTAGATTGAATATGATGAATGTTGAGAAAACAAAAGAGACTATAGATTTTACATGACTTTGCTTTCCATGGTATGTCCCTCCTGGAAATTCATCTTGCCTTGAGAGTCTATTGCATGTGGATAATAAATTCTTCCTTAGGAAAACATGTGTTGGTTCTTATTTCCTTGTATCAATGTAACTTGATTTAAGGGCCTGTACCACAGCCCCAATTTTCAGGCCAATTTCCGATTTCCAGGTTGGAAATTGACTCCGCCAGAAATGGTGTACCATGCACACCCAATTTCCCACAGTACAGCAGCCAGATTTTCCCAAAATGAATTTTGGTTGGTGAAAAATAAAAAGATCAAAAATGGAAATGAAAATTGGCTGGGGTGCTATGGTACAGGCCCTGAATCTTAATTCTCTTTCTAATTCTTTTTCTGTTTTCACATACTATGTAAATCTTATTCTTAAAAAAATTATCTAAATATTTTTTACTTATTGAAATAATCATACATAATTTGTGATTTTGGCTGGGACCTGTCAATTTGAGTTTTAAGTATGCTGACATGCCCCAGCCAAAATCTCACATTATGCAAATAAGTAAAACTCACTAAAACTCACTTAAGTAACTTTGAACATTACACATATGTGTAAGTGTTGGTTTTGTTGACATGGCTCATGTTTTATATGGAATTCATTTCATTCAATGCCATCTTCTCTGGGGTATTTTGGTTGCATTCCTTGTACAAATCATCTTTATTTCACTATTATTAGCTCTCTGGCTTTTATAGTGAGTGTATTACTTCTATTGTGTTCAACTAAATGTTCCAAAAAGTTATTCATTCTGTTGTTATTGCAAATTCTTGTGCTAAGGAATTGGTAGCACATCTGTCTGAGAACTTTGTTCAAAGCTGCATAATTATGGTGTCCTGAGGGAAAAAAACAGTACTTGTTTTAGTCTGATTAGGAAAGCACATGAGAAAAAAAAAGTGCCCAGACACTCCTGAATAACATTTCTCACATGTTGAATTTCTTGAGTTTTTGAGCAACATAGAGGTCAAGGAAGAGGTAGGAGTTTCTTGTTCAATGGACTTGGTGGCACTCTCAGGGTGGCACAAGATATTATATAACGAGAGCTCATGATTGAAAGAATCCACAAAACTAAGAGTTTATTGCATTAGAGAAATGCAAGAATGAGAGATAAACAAATCTAGCATTTTGACAAACACAAAGAGAAATACAAAAGAAAAAGCAATACAGACACTGAGAGATGTGATGAAAAGAATAAAATATATTAAGGAAAGAGTAAAGAATGATGGTGTTGACTTGGGTAGGATTGGTTGGTTCTGATTATTGAGGAAACCAGATACACCAACACCCACCTCAGTTATTTATATTGTTGTCTTTTTTTTTCTAATTTACTTGTTCTCTTATTTCTATTGTAATGTTAATGCACCTTTTTAATATCACATGTCAACTGTAAACATTTGCCTAACTTTTTCTAGCAGTGGTTGTGTGCAACTTCTTGGATCACTTAAGATAGTCAATGGATGATCTCAATACTTGGTTCTATATATATATTGAGTAGTCCAAGTGATTGTTAACAATTTTCTCCTTTCACTTCATTATCTCTGTGTCTTTATTCAACGTAAAGGACCCAGGTGAGCCCTGACCAAGCCTACTTATGTCAATATGGAGAAATATGGGTTTTGGATACCTGCACAAATTGGGTTTTATTTTCCAAAAAAAAACATTTTGCTAGGACTGACTTATACATCAGTAAGCACATGCAAAACTGATTAGTGCTGGAACCTGTGGGATACCAAAGACATTTTGACTGTACCTGCACCCCAACCCAAGGGTATTCCTGTCCCTCATATACACAAATCAGTGCAACCAAGGCCTACCCATGGGTATAGGGAACTGGCCACCAGTACCTGTGGGGCTGAATTTGAAGTGGGTATACCTGCCCATCAAAGGGTATATTTGCCAATCCAAGGTACCTACTTGGAGATACCCAAGGGTATCCAAGGTACCTACTTGGAGATACCCAAAGGTATCCAAGGTACCTACTTGGAGATACCCAAGGGTATCCCAGGTTGGGGAGGAGTAGAGGCAAATTTGCCTACACTCCCCCTCCCCCCTCAGCACAAAACTGAGATAACAAGGGAATGGGGCTTTAATGGGCTGCCTCTCTGGGAACTAGGTTGGGTAAGGTAACAAGAAAAGAACAAGAGTATGAACTCTTGAGGAATAGGTGTGGCTATGGAGATTTCTGGAGAATGGAATGTCTAATATTTCTTATGTTTACTGGTCTACATATACTTGTTCACAAATTAAGGTATCCCAAATTTTGATGGACATATATACCTGGCTAGTAATGGGAGATCAGTTATATGGATTGCTTGGTCAGTGTCAGCTATTGAGTAAGAGCCGGATACCTTGGGGGAATCCGGATCCTAAAACGGGATATTGATAAGTCTTGAGAATTCCAAGGCTCTTCAGGTTCGGGGATTCACTGATATAACTAAAGAAAGGTTGAATCCAGGCTTTTGACTAGTTCAGGGATTGGCACAATATAACTTGAATAGTGGTCTTATACTTTTTGGGTAAATGTTGTCTCTTCTTGGATTTCTGAGGAACATAGAAATAGAAGAGAACAAAGCTGATATAGTATGTGCAATGCATAATACTGTATAAGCATAAAGAGATAAATTGAATAAAGAGAAGATGCATGTTGTAGTCTGTGTAGTAACTGGAACATTATCCGGTAACAGGTATTGTGAAAGGCACTTGCAGGCTGAAAGTCAGGATCAGATGGGGAACAAATGAAGAGGCAAAACAAAGCTGCTTATATACAAAATTCTGGGCAGTGGCCAGCTGGTGGTTGGAAGATATGTGGAAAATTTCTATGAGAGCATGAAACACAAGAGAAAAATATTTAGCCAGAGGGGAAGGGGAAACAAGCTGCAGTGGGACAAATTCTCCCACAGTTAATATTATGAAACAAATAAGGAGGATAATATTTCATGGAAGAAAATAGGAGGAAATGACTGTTTGTACTGTCAAGGGGATTGGCACTAGTCTGAGACCCAGGGGGGGGGAGGAAGAATGGAATTGTTTGGAGGGGAATGAGTTTCAAGGGTGTGGAGTTTCTGTTGGGATGGGGAGGGGGGGGGGGTATTTCTATTATCCAGGTGGCCTGTGCTTGGGCGGATCCATGACACTACAAACAATACCAGTTTCGCCCCAGGAAAAAATGGCAATTTGAGTGGTGGAAAATTGTTCAATTTCCTGAGGCTTTTTTTACAAAATGACTCAGGAGTAAAAATCAGGCTAAAATGAGCTATTTTAGCCCAAAATTAAAAATGCCTCAAACTTTCCAAAATTAATTTTTAGCTCATTTGAGGCATTTTTATTTTTTGGCTAAAATAGCTTGTTTTAGCTTAATTTTTACTCCTGAGTCATTTTGTAAAAAAATGCTCAGGAAAGTGACCTATTTTCCACCAACCAAATTGCCATTTTTTCCTGGGGCAAAATCGGTATTGTTTGTAGTGTGAGTCACTGTCACCAAGATCCTAAAGAAATCCATTATTGTAACCCAACTTCATCCTCTGGTGATTAAAACAACAACTGAACAACAGTGATCAAGAAGGCTCTTCAAGAAAGAATCTCAAGAGACCATATTTCTGCTAAGTTCTCAATTTTTCTCTTGATCAGGGTATTGAACGTCCAATCAGGATAGTCAAGGGAATCCTGGTGTTGAAACTCAATGGTTTCACTGTCATATAGTGTAGGACTTCCAGTAGTGTTGGTGTGGTCTGAGATTCAAAGATCGTCTTACCAAAGCTCCAGAGATTCCAAATAGAGACGGCTTCAGGTACTCGAGTACCTGCAACCTGTTAGCGGGTCCCTCCCCGGAAGGTGTCAGGTACAAGTGGAGGTGAAGAAATCCAGCAGGATTTCAAGCAAGTGTCTTAGCCGTCAATAGGAGCACCAAACCCACCCATGAGTGACCAATAGTAACTCATAGTGAGAGTCTGTGTCCTGTCTGCACAGTGCAGCGCAGGCCGGGCAAGAAGCAGGCCCTCTCACATCTAACTGCAAAGCTTCTTTTGTTTTTGTTTTTTGTGGAGGAGTCTGCATGAGAGCCTAGGAATCATATTGCTTGGCCGTCTGCTTCTCCGCTTGTCAGCAACTCCACCTTGGAATCAAGGATGATCAGACTGGCCCTCTTGATCAATGGGAAGCATCCCCCCCCCCCTTATCACATAGATCAGGCCCTAACCGCCCCATTCAAAATCTCTCAGAATTGGCCAAGTCTTTGTGGTACCTCAGACCATCCACTTCCTACTTGTTACCCCAATCAATCAAAAAAAAAACACATCTACAGGATATCTTGGCCATCCAAGCCTATGAGCAGTCTGTGGAGCTTGTTATAAGCAGGAACTTCTGAAGATGTCCAGAACATTACAAGGAAGATAGATTGAATGGACTCTGATTTTTCTCAATCTGATTCAATGGAAGATGGATGAACCCAGTGATTAGAAGAGGATTGTGTATTTATGTAGCATGATTGTATGTTTTTTCTTGATGCAGGTGTAGTGAATGAGGACAGTGCAGTATCAACTTGAATGTCCCATCTAACCAATGGCTGAACCAAGTGAAGTGTGTGCATGTATGTATGTATGTTAAACTGGGCAAGGTTTCTCTGGGAATCAGGGCCAAACATGATCAATGGAGATACATACATACATATACACCAAAAAAACAAGTGAGGCCAAGAGCTTCTCATCTCTGTGGGTTTGGGGAAACAAGAGGATGATGATGATGACAAGAGTGCACCGGTGTGAGAGTGGGAAAAGGACAACAAGGCGGGAGGAAGAAGACGGGAAGAAGAAAAACCCTAGAAGGTGGAGGTAGAGGACTAGAGGAGAGTAAGGAATTCGAGACACATTGGATAAGAAGAAAACAAAAAAAAACACTTTGAGAACCAAAAAAAAAAAGGAAAGAAGAAAGATTGGCCAGAGAAACTAGGGAAGTGAAAAAAGAAAGATGACCGGTTTCATAGTGTGGAAGGAGAGGTGAGACTACATAGGGAGTATGTGACAGGAGACTAGAGAGAGCGATGGCTATGTGAACAGTAAGGATGTCCGAAGAGCCATCCCATGAAAAAAAAACATAATGAACAGAGGGAGAGGGAGAGGGAGAGATTGGGGATTGGAAACAGGTATGGGTAACCGGCCTGATCGACCATCGTCTCTGCGTCCACCAGCCCTTCCTCGCCTCGTCCTTCCACCTCACCATCCCCTCTTCTTCTTGTTTCCTTGTCCGTCCTCATCACACCATCCTTAAAATCCATATTACTTCTTTCTAGTTGCACAAAGACTGTATCCCCCATCTATCCCCCGCTCGCCTGCCGGGTCCATCGATCGGGCCAAGCACTCGTATATATCCAACACTAGACCTTCTTCCCATCACCCCCACTACTCGCCACTCCAAAAAAAAAAAAAAATCATAATGATCAAAATCGACCCCAGCCATCAGGTGAATTGTGGCCCCTATTATTGAAGTGGGCGCATTCTTGTTCTTCGGCCAGTTTGGGCTTGCTAGGAAGCCTACATGAATGAGATTGAAGAGAGCCACAAATCAGTGCTCAGAAGATCCAGATAATCTCAAGATAGTCGATTGAAAAGCAAACATGTTAAGAGTGGGGAAACGTGTCAGGACAAGGGGAATCTGAGTAAATCATCCTGCAAAACTGCAATAACCACAAAGGCTTGAAAAAGATAATAATAACACATGCTGCGGTTTGGGTGTTACAGAGGGGAGGGGCGCAGCTACTCACTTCCGATCAGTCAAGCGAGATGAAGGGAGCTGGTTCGACGATGACCTTTCTGCTTGAGGCGACGGCAGGACTAGCCTCCGGAGCGGCACCGGCAGGGTTTCGGTCTTTGGCAGCCACTTGTTCTCTGGTTGGGACCGAAGCCTCGTTCCCGTTGCGGGTTGCAATCGTCCAATCAAAGACGTAGTCGTACGTGTAACCCTCGCGAACGAACAGGTCACGGAAGAGCTTGCGAAGGTAGGGATAGTCGGGCTTATCGTCGAACCTCAAGGATCGCGAATAGTTGAGATAGATGGCAAATTCTTTCGGGAAACCTCGGCAGAGGAATTCGGTTGGAGTGGTCATCTTCTTCTCCATGATTCGGTCGTACTTTTGCTTCTTAGTCGCCGCTTTCAATCCTTGCCAGGGTAAGTTCCCTCGGAGGAAGTACATAAACACGTAACCGAGTGATTCCATATCGTCTCGACGGGATTGTTCGACACCGAGATGGGTGTTGACGGAGGTGTATCGGGCCGTTCCGGTGAGGTTCTTGTTCTCTCTGTATGGGATGTGCAAGTGACTCCTGGGGTCACGATACTTCTTGGCCAGACCAAAGTCGATGATATTCACTTGGTTTCCACGCTTGTTGACGCCCATGAGGAAATTGTCGGGCTTGATGTCACGATGGATAAAGTTTCGGGAGTGGACATATTCGATTCGGGAGATCTGGATCATTCGAAAGAGGAGATTATCAGGTCTGAGCAGGAAATGCAGAGTTCAGCTGATGAAGGGAGCTTACCAACTGATCAGCGAGGAGTAAGGTAGTCTTGAGGCTAAATCTGCGATTACAAAAGTTGAACAAGTCTTCCAAGCTAGGGCCGAGCAGATCGATGACCATCGCATTGTAGTCACACTCGACACCATACCATCTCACAAACCTGTGAGCAGTTGTTTAAACGCAAGTGAGCGAGAGATATTTATTTATTTATGGATAGTGGAGAGAGAAAGACTGCTTACGGAACTCCGACCCCACCGGCGAGAGTTTTGTAGATCTTGGCTTCGTATTCGAGTTGAGGATGCTTGGCTTTGACACTTTCGAGCTTGATGGCCACTTCCTCACCGGAGATGATGTTGATTCCAAGGTAAATATCACCTAGAGATCCGAGGATGGTTGTTAGTATCGAAGTTAAGTATATTAGGAATGTTTCTAGGTCAGAAAGAGATAGAATGATGTATGGACACACCAAACGAGCCACAGCCAATCTTTTTTTCGAGACGATATTTACCGCCGACACGAAGATCCATGATGATAGGAAGAATGAGAGGTCTGGGGAGGGGTCGAGAGGCTTTTTGAAGCTTTCGGTAGGCACGAGTAAGTTGTTTTTCAGATGAAGGGGGGGGGGGGGGAGTCAAGAGGGAGGGCAAAGTCAGCGAGGAAGATGAGAAGTCCAAGGGGGAAGGAGTGAGTGTATGTGAGAAAGGGGGGCTGGCTGATGATCGGGGGAGCTGATCAGTGATTGGCGAATTAGAATCGAGTGGAATGGATGAGAAGATGGGGGATATGTATGTAGTCGGAATGCTCCGATCGAGAGTATCTGGACAGTATTATCATGTACAGCAATTGATCCCCGCAATTGCTGGCTGGTTGTCCTATGTAGTGCTGGATGAAACAGTGGGAAAGGATGAGATGACCAACCTTTGAAGGTGTTCGGGAGTGAGTGAGCGAAGGAGCAGGTTGGAGTGTCGAGGGGATATTATTGTAATGGCAGCGCGAGAGGGGTAAGGAGAGGAGAGTATCGAGGCTTTCTTCTCGGCTGGGTTGTTGTTGTTGTTGTTGTTAGGTAATGGTTCAAGACAGGCGGGGCAAGTCAGAAGGTCGAGAGAGGTTGGCTTGGAAGGCTGAGAAGGGGGTCGGAGATAGATGAAATCCAAGGGGGGAGAAGGGGGAGGATATTAAGGTTGAGCGGTTGGGCCGAGGCGGATGAAGCGATATCGATATCGAGTCTGTGTAATTGGCTGGGGTGGTTTGAGCAGTCAAGTTGAATGATGGCTTTGATAAGCTGTTTCTGCGAGGAGCAAGTCGGAAAGGAGTTGAAGTTTGGATGTTCAACTCTTGTTGTGCTAGACTCTACACAGTCAAACAGCAAAAACAACAACTGTTTCTTTCAAAGAAATATGTAGCATGTGAAAAAGAGATAACAAAACAAAACAAAACCAAAGAAACAACAACAACTTGATTAATTAATTTGTACCAAGCTACCCTTCGACAAACTGGCCGACCGCCGAGCCCTCTCTCCTTTTGATCTTCATCTTCCCCTCTCTCATGTGACGACGTTGTGGGCTCTGCATGAATATCAGTCGTCATTGGTGGGGCAGTCGGCGGTAGAGGAGGCTTCATGATCAAGAACTCTTCATATAGACTAATTTAATTTTTTTTTTTCCTCATCATTTTATAATGGCCAATCAAACTCACACTAGTATTAATCAACAAAACAGCCCAAATCATCATCATCATCATCATCTGACCAAAACCAAATCATAGCAGAATTGAGAATTCAGGAATCATCAGCTCAAGCCAAGTTAACTTTTCCTCTCCACCACCAAGATTGCCCTCCTCGAATCTCTTGCAGATTCCTCATTCACCTCTTTTCCCTTGGCCGCTTCATCTGATCGACTTTTGATGAATTCCAAAAAAAAAAAAAAGAATGACTGTGCTATCAAGTCCTGTCATGGAGGTGCACAAAAAGAAAAGTTGAAAGTCTCATGAGTTGTTTTGGGATGAACCCATGCAAGATATCTTCTATGTAGCTGCAGGGGGGGTATGGGAATGTCATCCCATCAACCTGACAGCTAATTGAACTGTTGTAAGAGGAATGGTATAACTGAGTATGAGAAATCAAAATGATCATTAGCCCAGTTCACAATAGCCAGTCATCAGCAAACATTTTAGCTGTAATCAGCAAATCATTGATACTTAAAAACACCTCCATTTTCGAATGTGTAGTCCAGAGTCCCCCAGATTATTCCAGAACCATCCAAAAAATATTTTCCTATCAGCAACTTTTAACAAGGTGATCAGCCATTGGAACTGGCTAATGTGAACCGGGCTATTATCTAGAGTCCAAGACAACCTAATGTATTTTCCTTATTGTCTTCAGTTTGTTAGCTCTTCAAGACAACCCAAAACTAACTCACATCATGACCAGAAAGAAAGTACAGTGAAACCTTTCTAAGGACATATGTATAACCTGTACAAGGGCATTATAAGTAACAGGTTCTCCCAAATCTTAATTTTCCCCTTCAAATCCATCTCCTCTGAGCGCATAACTTGTTTGAAAGCATACATAAATAAATCCTTCTGCCAAGAGATATGCCCTTAGACAGGTTTGAATGTATATGGTACCTTTGTTTGTCCACATTATAAATCACTGATCTTTGTTTTCACACCTTGTTTCCCATCAGCAGGTGCAACGGGAACCACCTCAATACAACAAACCCACTGCATCCAGTCTGAGCCTGTGGTCTTTCTAGCAACGGTGGGCCGCTACACTAACCGTAGCGGTTAGTGTAGCGTAACGCAGCAGAATCGCTGTTAGCAATTAGTGTAGCGTAGCAGAATTCCGCCACGACACCGCTAACGCTACGCGTGTGGGCCGCAAAAAAAGGGCCCACTACGCTGCGCTACAGCAGTTTTTAGCGGTTTTTGGCCGCTTTTTCCACTAAAAGCGCTGTAGGGCAGCGTAGCGTAGTGAAAAACCGCTAAAAAACGGCCAACACTATGATTTTTGGATGAAAAAAAGCACCGCTACGCTACGCTTTTTGGGCCAAAAGCGTAGCGTAGCGTAGCGGCCCACCGCTGCTTCTAGCTATGCCTCAGTAAGATTGAGCTTACATTAAGTTTGATCAACCATGTACTGTATGTAGTCTAGTACAGCCTGCTCCTATGGCACATGATGTAACATGATGCTGTCTCCCTCCCCCACCCCCTGATCATTGACTATAATTTTGCTTGGATGATCTTGTTGTCCATGTCAAAGTTCAAGTTCATGCATGGGGGATACAGGTGCAATAAGTCTTGTAGGCACATGGGTTGAATCTTTCATTCATCTCACACCAACACTTGTACACAGCTAGGGGCCAACATCTACACATAATTAAATTTGTTCACTCACCAATCTGAGACCTTGGCATATCCCTTTTTGGTATTCATAATAACCATCCTTTCAACCTTTACCTTCCCTTTCAGAAAGCTTCATAGTTGATTGAAATATCTAGAACAAAATCTTGCTTAATGATGGATCAATTATGAGCCTGCAGACAAGTGCAAGCTGAGTTCTGTTGTGCCAAGTCAGGTTAATGGTGATGAGTGTATATCTTTTGGTCCATTTGATGGGCTACATACATAAATAGTGAACAGAACAGCACCATACAACATTCCAGGGAGCATCAATGCAGAAAGAATACAACTGTCTTGGCTGATCAAGCGATGCTCATGAGCAACCACGACCTCGCACTCTGCAGGCTGCGCGGAGAGATCCGCATCCTGTGGCGTGTCACCGATCCCCGGAAAATCCCCCGGCCTCGGCCCGCATCTTTTTTTTTTTTTCTTAAAAACCCGGCGCGTGTGATCAGGTCCAAGGTGTCTTTAGGATCCGATAAAGCTGCGTTTTCATCCCTGCCCCTGCCTCCTGCAAAGACAAGACTTGGGTGTGCAACTCTCACCACCACCACCACCACCAACAACGACGACGACGACGCCCGATTGGACCACGGAAGCTCTCTCCACTCGACCTCATCTTCTTGGCTCATATAGTATCATATATCTGTCTCTGTTCTTCTGTGTACTTCACGGCTATCAGGCTTCCGCAGAGAGAACGAGAATCTCGGACGAGTATTTGTGGACACGATGGTCGCTTCTACACTCGCACCAACGAAAGAAAGTTACGAGGAGATCCGGCAACGGAATATCGCAGCTAGTAAGTCATCCATTTCACAACAGGGGTTTTTTCTTTCTTTCTTTCTCTCTCTCTAAAAGCTTATGGTGTGATAAGGAAATTGATACATGGGAGTCAACAGATCGCAGTTTATTGCTGTCCTTACAACTCGCCGGGCCTGGGTTCGGACCGACGTTGATACCCAAGGGCGATCCCAAACAACACGACCGACGACGAGAGGAGCGAACGAAGA